TATATATATATATATAGATATTCAGATCTTTTTATTTACATAATGGCAATTTTTGGTCAGAGCGCCCTCTAGTATTGTGGAGAATCATGTTCATTTGGAATGCTCTGATTGGATGGAAGTTCAAGCCTAGCAAGGTTCAAATAAGCATGAACCACTAATTTGACAGGGAAGTGATACTTATAATGCAGCAAGCTGTTCTAATTGCTGTTGTGGTAGAGTTTTTCAATTTTCCTGTCAAATGCATTTATTGGTCCACTGAAAAATGAAAATAATGTTCCTGTAACTTAGACTCTATGATCAAGGCATTTTAAAATCATGGGTGTTAACTCCCTCAAGTTATGACCCGTGTCCCTACAGAATAATGGTTGCATCTAATATTAAAATAAAGATGGCGGAGTATAGCGTTGATTCATCTCGTTCTACTCTGGATTACTTGGAGTCAATAAAGATCCTAGAAAGTTAGTATTTATATGCCTGTGTGTTTTTTGTTTGTTTGTTTTTTCACTGTCTTTGACTTTCCCAGTATGTTTGTTGCTGTTGACAACAATTCAGTCCTCTGCCAGGCTTCAGTCAATGTTTTTCTTCACTACCTACCCAACTCCTCGTCGGGCACTATGTAGCTGGTGTGGTATATTTATCACAGACAGTAGGGCAATTGTCACATTTAGTGCTCCAAGAAAATATTCTCTGTCCATGTGTATTTATATAAATAGATGCAGTTTCTTTGGCTTGAATAACGATCACTGGCTTCGTACATACAGGTATACTGGTTTACCTGTTTCTAGTTGAAATATAGCCAATCTTATTAACCAAGACAGTTGGACATTTGCCACATGTCACAACACTCATTTCCAAGTGCCATAGCTTGAAACAAGTAGTCAAATCTGATATTGGCTGGAGCTTTAGTTTATATGGACATGGTAAATGGCAAACTAGATGGTCAGAAAGTAATAAAAATAATCACAGCTTTACTCCACCCACCCCACTATGAAGTAAAAGGCTGTTTATAAGGCCATGTATGATGGTTTCATTTTTCTTATGGAAAACAATTTTAATTAAAAACTTCTATGCTCCTGTACCCAACCGTGGGGGTTCATCACACTAAACAACAGGTGTCACTATTACTAAGATAAATGTACTTTTTTCATTAAAATTACTGATATATATATATATATGGCAAGATTAAATAAAAAATTAAAGTTAAATGTTGAAATTTCTTTTGAAGAATCAGCAAGGACCCTGATTACCTACTACCATTTTCTATATATTATTTTTATCGGTCTTAGCAGCTTTTACCAACTATCAAATTTGAACACAAAAATAACACATGGCCTGAACAATGGGTCAGATGACCTAAATATTCAAATTGTGCTTACAAAATGTCCAATGATTAATGTATTGACACAATGCACTAAAATGGCATTTGTTTAGTGAAAATGTTATTAAAGGGTCACATATATCAGCATACTTCACAGAACAAGTAAATCTTATATCATGCCACTACGTTATACAGCGAATTCGAGTTTTAGAATTGTTTTGAAACATTGCTATGCAAAATTCCTGAGAGTAGAGAGCAGCGTGTATCATCACAGGGCACACGTTGTACATTTTCGCCAATCACCAACTTAGCTCAGCCTACATAACTGATCTAAACAAAAAATCTGACTTTTTAAAGAACGATGAAAAATTTGCAATCTTTACTCTATATTGTAACAATTGATTAGTATGTTATCACGCTGTCAGTCTGTCGACTTCTTCAAATTCAAGTTACTGACTTATACCACGGTAAATCACATGACATTCACAATACACGACTCTGCTGTCTTAATATCACACTACTTGACGACATCTAATTTATATAAATCCAGAGGGTATTTTAAACGCTTTGCTATATACCAATGAACAATTCAGTACCATCACGTGATTATCATTATGTGCAACTAAAGTGCCAATAACTATGTCAATAAAGGCATGCCTGCTATGATTTATATCACGGGATTAAATCTACCATAATTTGTCGTCTTGTTGTAGTTGAAGAATCTCCTTGACAACTTCATATTCTCACAGTTGCAGTCTTGACCGAGCCCCGCAATACATACCCTAAACTGTACAGTATGTCCGTAAGTACCTGCCGGTTACCTTGTTTTATGCCTCTTAAGTTAACGTGCACCATACACGGACATTTATTACTCTAACATCCATGTGTGTTACGAAATACAAAATAAATGATTGATCGTTCTTTTGGTCTCCCATGCAATTCATTTAAATTTCCCTATAAATTGAAGTTGAATGATTGGGAGTTTACCTATGATCTGTACATCTGTACTATACACGCTCGATGCACTTCACATTTGAAAAGAGAGTACAACTTTCCCCTCACTAGGGGTACGTTTTTGGACAGCGACACCCACGCTTTCCGGATCGACGATGTTGAATGCAACATGTAGTTCTCGTCAAATTCGCAGTATTACTTCAATAACTTGTGACAACTTAAACTCTAACTGTAGTTAGCTGCCCTGTTGTGGTCTCAGTTCTTAGCAAACATTCTCTCTTTCACGGGTGTCGGGTGTATATTAGATCTTCAATCCCAATCAGGTCGTTAACTATATCAGTAGATATAACTATCAGTAGACTATAATCTCTTTCAATTTGTGTATGACATGACATGTTGAGTAAAAATAAATAATGTTTAACAGAAAAAATAACACTGTAAAATGTGTATGGCACCATCTCTTTAGACCATGAACTTGGTGAACTGTGATCATTCAGAAAACCCGACATTATTTGAAATTCAAGTTGAACACTTTGTACCTTATTTGGATGTAAATTCTTGTACGTACCGAGAAAAATGACACATTTTTACTGTGCACGAAAAAATATTTGATTGATTACGTTGTACGTCTAGCCTGTGATTACAGAATTACGGAATTTATTTTTTCAATTTACGTAGTACGAACAAAAAAATATTGCAATTACGTTGAACGAAAATAACCCTTGCCCCCCCCCCCAGTGAATGCAGACAAAACTGTGCAAACTGACAAAACTGTCGAAACAGGTAACATATCGACTTGCCCGATCCAGTTTCGTAACAACAAACACATTCTCTCAGATACAGCACTAATTCGCTGGATCTTATTTTCACTGAATCATTCCTATAGGGAAAATTGATTGCAAGCGAAAATAAAGTATTTCACAGTAATGTGTCGTTTCTATCATGAGTTCTGATTGGGTAATGCAAATGAGCCCAAGTGAATATTATAATCGTTTGAGGGTGTGCGACATACAGTAAATCGTTGTGAAATCTGCCAAAGGTTAATGTTGAGGCTTCGGCCAAATAAATGGTCCTTGTCTGGCGAAGCTGACTTTAAGATGAGGTATAATTTTGAGTAAATGTTTACTCAAGCATACTGTAACAATGTTCTGTTGAAATGACTGAAACATGACTGTTCAATGATCAATTTATGCACACACAATAAGTGCGAATTCTAAATTACAAAGTTTGACCATGATTATTGCTTGGAATTCCTATTACTGAACTTGTGATAATCCGTTTTTAAACAGTGTCCTCAACACTGGTAAATACTATTTATTTAACAGCACCCTCACCTTTGTACACGGACATGTAAAACACACGTGTGTCACTTCTATTCTGAGGTTGATCGGGAAAAAGCTGAATGTTATTCTCGGTCTTCTAAAAACCACGTGATTTCAACGTTTTTTGTCATCTTAGTCTGCGGGTACTATTGAATAAACTACATCTTACCAATGTACGAATAATACAAGTGAATCACCATGTGGGTACAGCCGTAAACTGTACTAAATTACATAACGGTAGTTGTTGTGTTTTATTACGTCGTGTTACTCATCATACTACCAACCCGAATTTCTAGAGCAGAACTGAATGGGTGCAAACGAACTCATTTGGTATGAACTAAACTGCAAATGAACTCAAATTTTCGTTTGAAAGTTTTTTTTTTCATTGGGACCTGAGAAGTCAACGTATTGTTGGTTGTATTTAATAAAATATTGTATAATTGTTTGGTATTGATTTATACAAGTGTGTGACGTCACAATTGTAGTTTGACTACTTACTCATACCACGAAAAAAGTTATCTCGCTTGTCGAGGTGTCAGGGATTAAACCTATCTTGAACGTAACGATTATGTGTGTACTACAAGCAAAGCATTCTCTTGCAGAATCTAAATCTTTTGTTCACACACAATGTTCTATTTAACACTGTGTAGCGATTTAGCTCGTTTGATTTATTTACTCCAATTTGATATTTATTTAACTTCGACCGTTTCTGGGGGTACTGAGTAATTATTTTGAAAATATACAGATGAGTTTGTCATTGCTAACAATACAACAGTATATACCGCGACAACCTGCTGTCAGCGCTGAAAATGAAAAAAGGTTCTGCCGATTGTGATGTCACACTATGACGATATGAGTCGTTGTTTTGCTTTGCATTACGATAATAAAAAACTGTTAATGTTAAAACTATATTTTTTTGTCCCTAATCTGCATAAATGAGAATGAATTACCAGAACTCGATGCCTCGTATATAATATCACATCTCGTGCTATTGACAGCCAATCAGATTCACGCATTTGCAGGGCACTAAAATCAATTTTTCACAGCAGCCAAGGTTACAGATTTCCATGTGGATCATATCTTTAGTCTACTCAAAGCGTGGTTGAGAA